ATGTTGACAACATAATCTTGATTCCTTTGGACAGAGGGGTACTGTAGATCCCTAAAAAGGATTGAATGTCTATATCCTCCTTAGAAAACTTGCTCTTCGAGCAAGAGGGCGCGGGAATATCTTCATCGTCAGATGACATTTCCTTGAATGCAATGATGGGCGTTTTTTCTTTAACCAAGGGTTTTTGGATTTCCCCATCTTGTTGGGGGCACAAAGTCTCCAAGATTATGTTGTCAACATCACAAGACGAATTGAGCGCACGGATCTTATCCAGACGCGACGTTGCATTTTTGAGAATCCTTTGATTTCGAGATTCGGCCATCAATTGGAATGTATTTAATTAAATATTTAATATCAATGGCACTGGAAAGGATCAAATTGGCTTCTATAAAAACATAAATTTATTTTATTGGAATACATTTTTGGGCCGACCACGTACGCATGGCAAGCTCTATAAATCTAGGAAGTGGGCGAATTTTTTTCCAAAAAAAGAGTACCCGTGTCATATAAACTGTGGGCAGGATCTTCGTCTTTTTCTTTTGCCTTGACGGCCTCTTTACTTAAGCTGGAGTAATATCTGCGATGATGCTGACTTTGAAAAGGTTCGTCGCTTTGCACTTTATCTGCAAGAGGAGGATGAGAAGATGAATGCCACAGAGATCTGATTTTGCTTTTGGTTCCAGTCACTGATGTTGGGTAGTTGTAGATGGTTTTGACCGAGTTTCTTAGAGTTTTCATGATTCCGCCTGCATGTGACATTCTTTTAAATTGAACAATAGAGGCGGAGTCTTGGGTCGAACCATTTGCACTAACTACACTTGACGAAGAGGACGAGGATGTGGAATTCAGATACGACTGGTGCTCTGTAGCTATTCTTGATGATCTTGGCGTAAGATTGAGTTCATCATAAGAAGAACTGTTTTGCTCTGAAAGCAAGTCTTTGGACGGAAACGCCGTTTCTGAGGCATTTACTAATTGGCTGGTACTGTTAGATTTTTTTACCCGAAAAAGCTGTCTATCCTCTTGAAAAGCTGGTGAAACACATTGATCATCCAATGATCCTTTTTTCTTTGGAATTGGTTCAAGGAATGCCTGCGAATCTGAAAGAAAAGACCCGTCAGGAATTGGAGTGGGTGATGCCTCGGAAATGCGATTGGCTACCGAAAAATTAGGGACAGACTTACCAAAAGTCTGCAGCTCTTGAGAAGATCTTGTTGAAAAGGTATCTGTTGGACAATCTTGAGGAGAAGCTTCAATAGTGGAGCTGGATGGAGGACTTTCAAAGTGTGCACTCTGTGGAGAGTCTTCAGGGACTTCGGGTGAGTCTTTTGGAGGAGGAAGAGATTCATGGGGATTATGAATATCAGTATCAGTATCAGCCTTTTCCGAAAGCACCTCATCCTCGTTGGGTTTCGTTTGAAAAGACGAGCGCCTTTGTTTCAAAGGGCCTTTGCTAGAAATTCTCGGCGGTGGTAAAGGTGGGGGTTGTGACTTGTCAATCTCAACATATGATTCATCTTTTGGAGATGGTCGATAATTTTCTCTTGAAGCTGTAATTAAATTATCCTTTGCTGATACATGCTGAGATGCCCTCATTTCGTCATTTGAGCCTTTTGTTGCTTGTTGCTTGGTATCTTCTGGTAGTGAAGAGATTTCTACAGGCTTCATGGGATTTTTTTGTTTCAATTGCTGCTGAGCCAAAAGCCTCTTTCTTGGAAGACTCATCAATGCTGAGGTGAGTGAGGTTGCCTCAACACTAGCATAGCTCCTATCGGGCTGATGAAGTGGATGTTTAATGCCTTCATCGGATCTTATACCTGCCTGCTCATCTTCATAACGTGATTTCATTGGGGGCAGACCAAGCTCCTCCATATTTGGAAGTACGAAATACTCCTCCATCGATTCATTTAGTCTTTTTTCAATGACCGAAGTGACCAGCGACCATTTAATGGCCCTTGTTGAGACAAGCGGTTCAATAGAGAGCTCCATCTTTGGCATTTCATAGAACCCATACCAGAGTCGATCGCTTGGCGGGGGCTTGATTTTCATGAGCATCTATGGATGAGTTGATGTGGGAGAACCTTCCCAGATAAGCGTTTAATGACCACCGCCAACACAAGAGGAATATGAAAAGGTTTCACCCGCGGAAGCTCGATTTTTGCTTCAGTTTCTATCTGTATTTTGAACCCGCCCAAATAGAGCAGATCCATACTTACATTGATGGCGCCTTTTTCATCAATCGAATGTAGCGTTGCATTAGAGATCAACGGGAGTTGACTACCAACCTAAAGGAAGTTCATTTACAAAGAAATGGGTACCTCCACCATACAGACGGAGATATCAGAAAGAAAAAAGGGGACCTTCATCCGGCTAGTTTTCCTATTAAATTTTCTCATGAAATAATCTTGTAATTCGACAGACTCAAAGACGTTATAAAATATCCGCCCAAAAATGGCGTTGAACCATTGGGAATGTTGGTCAAGCAGCGGATTTTTCACGGTCTCAGATAAATTTTTCATAAATGAAACTATATGCGACTTTCGATTAGCAGAACCACCCTCTCCCAATGAAGCATTGGACCGATCCTGATTTTTCTAGCCATCAATTAGCTGCCCACCAAAGTACCTTTTGGATGGCATCATGCATCAATAAATACCAATCTTCCTTTTCGATTGCAGATGGTGCAAAGAGGAAAATCACCGGAGATCTTGCAAATACGGAGCCATTTGATGATGACACCATGATCGGATTTTCTCTTCTATAGTAGAGGTCCAGGCGCAAGTCTGCTGGAACGAGCGAAATCTCGCATTCCTCGATAGAGGCCACACCGAAGCAAGATTTTTGTTGTTGGTCACCTTCATAAAGGAAAAGGCTTGTCGACCTAAGAACCACCCATGCGTAGATGGAAGTAGGGTCCTTATTAATGGTGCCGGCACCTGAAAAGCCTGGAGGAATAACAGTAGCCGCGGGTGCGGCCGAAGATCCGGCTTGCGAAGAGGATAAAAGATCTATCTCTGCAAGGGCTTGTTTATCACCGATAATGTTTGATGATGAAGGGGAGAGAAAGCCCTCAAAGTTTGTAGTAATTCTAAGCCAGCCACTTTTTATCTAAAATTAAAATTTGCCATGTGACAGCGTACAATCGATAGCGGATCCTCCATGTCGACAAAAAGATTGTCCGCTTCTGGATCTGGAACCAGGGAAGATGAAATTCCGCCTTTTTTCTAAAAGCGAGATGATGTTGCAAAAATACTTTTTTTAGCCGAGTCCGTTTGACAATGGGCGAGAGATCAATAGAAATGACAGGATCTCCTAGTCCATATCTGATGAACAGAAAAAACGCAAATACAATCAAGAATATTAACCCAAAAAAAGCTAAAAAAAAGACTGGCACCCATACCTCCATAGATAAAATAGCAAAATGACGAAAATGAGGCAAAGGGAGATGGAAAGATCATGTA